ATTTGGAGAGTAATAAACTCTGATTTGCTTAAAGGGAACATCCAGGAGAGCTGGAGAGAGACTATGGACAAGGGATGGAGGGACAGGACACAGGGAATGGCTTCCCAGTGCCAGAGGGCAGGGAGAGATGGGCTTCAGTTATTTCTTTTGCTTTGCCTTGCTCTTAAATTAATACTTCACATTTTTTTGTGCCTTTTGCATTTCCCTGCCAAATCTGCAAAAAATTTCCTATAAAACCTTTATTATTTTTTTTTATTTTATTCCTGGACCACCCTCGTAGTGAGAAAATAAAATTCTGATTTTAAAATTGAAATTATTTAAATTTATTAAATAATTTAATAAATATATATATTATAAATAAAACAAATTTATTAAATTTTAAAATTTATTTTTGCTTCCCGACACGACCTACTTGAAAATCAATAAGAATTAAATGCAGCATAAAAAAAAATATTAAATTTTTATAGGGTTTACTTAAGGGCAGGTTTAATTATTCAACTACTTTGGTTCTTTTTTTGGGGGGGAGAAATCTCATAAAAATTAAAGAATAAAAAAATTTAATGAAGTAATTATTAGAAGAGCAAACAGGCCCAGAAGGGACATTTATTTTACAGTATAAGGGATTTTTTTTTTACCCGTGGAAAGGAATAAGATGAAGGTTAATTGAGGAGGGGAAAAAAAAAAAGCTGTTGGAAAATTCCCAGGCCTGGAAGAAAAAAATCAGAGGAATAAGTTATTTAACTATATTGTATCTCTCTCTGTGTTTCCTGTAGATCCTTCAGGTCCTGGAAGGCCACAATCAGGTCACCCCAAAGCTTCTCCTCTCCAGGCTGAACAATCCCAGCTCTCCCAGCCTTCCCTCCCAGCAGAGCTGCTCCATCCTCTGATCATCCTGGAGCCTCCTCTGGACCCATCCCAGCAGATCTGTGTCCTTAGATATGTTCAGATCTCCATCCATCTCCACACCAGCTTCTCTGGGAATTCCATTCCAGCCCCTCCCCACCCTCCCAGCCAGGAATTCCAATATCCCAGAATCCCATCTAAACTAGTTTGAAGCCATTCCCTGTGTTCTGTCCCTCCATGCCTTGTCCCCAGTCCCTCTCCAGCTCTCCTGGAGCCCCTTTAGGCCCTGCCAGGGGCTCTCAGCTCTCCCTGGAGCCTTCTCTTCTTCCCCAGCTCTCCCAGCCTGGCTCCAGCCCTTGATGGATTCCCATTAATGGGAATACCCATAGAATGGATATTCCCCCATCCCAGGGCTGGAAAGCTGTGGCTCTGAGGTTTGTCCAACCAAGAATTCCTTCACCAGCAATTTTGTGACTTGAAATCCTGTGGAAAGTCTGTCTGGATTTAATAGAGAAGATGTAAAGGATGTGAAGATATCATGGAATCCCAG